AAACATCCAAACCTATCCGTTAATTCTGATTAATTAAAAGAAACTGTAAAATAATTCAATCAAAATTACTGAAATGAGATTCGATCGTGGAATCTAGTGACCTGGAGTCCACCAGCCGAAACTGATGCCCCTGCATTGCGTGATGCTAAGTTTCTTATCGACTTCGTGTTTCAGTTGCCCCCGGCCCCTCACACCAAATCCAGCATCCCCCCCACCCCAATTTCTGCAGTAATCCTGCTATCCAGCCACGGTACAATTCCATCTCAAAGTCGAGAACTTCAGCAACAATCAGCTCTAACGTATAATCTAACAATAATAAGATATCCAGAATTAGTACTTACATTTATCACGCACTTAAAGGAAATTATTTACGCATGCACTCAAAACAAAGGCTACAAATGTACTCACCATACGGCACTGTTAAATCGTCCACGGCAAATGAGCTGGTATATTGATAGAACCCAGACGATGAAGACAGCATGGCAATATATCTGAAAATATACGAAAAATATATAATCTGTATTCAAACTAGCACAAAACTAATGAAGAAATGTAGCCAGCGTGTTATATCGAAATCTGTAGTAATGCAAGAGAATATAAGCAAAGACATTCAAGTATAACCCCAAATCGACCAACTCATAGCCTAAAAACAATAAGAAAAACTTATTACCTGATGCGCACAGCCCTTCAGAAACACGCGATTCCAGCCAAAATAAATAAACTAACATTTTTATAGCGTAATCAAAATATTCTCTGTGACAAACGTAACATCTCTCTTCGGTCCAAATATTCTTCTCAATTATTACTCTGTACTTGAAACTTTACGTCTTAAAGCCCAGTGGTAACTATATGTACCACTTGCTTTAACATTCAGAAACTCTGCATTTCCTACTCGTGGTTTACCTAAGATTCTCAATTTTCGAAGTTGCATTAATCGTTGTCACTTATAATGGCTGTGTTTTTGAAATTGGCTGTCTTCTGGGTTAGTGCAAAAATCTTACCGGGTTATTTTTCTTTGAGGTACGGACTAAATTTTGATTTCCTTATTTAGATAATTCTTTTAAGTGAAAGGTAAATTGGACAATTATGTTTTTAAAACCGAATAAAATAAAACATTGAGATAAATAAAGACCCAGCTTTCTTCTCAGACCAGGATCTGCGTTCTTTGCTTGAAATAATTGCGTTGAAAGTCAGATCTCTGTGACATACAGCGATACATATAATCTTGATAATAAATGTAGACGTAACAAAGAAATGTAGGCGAAGGAACCATAGCTTCATGTAACATCAATTTGACACACTTCGTTTTGTTTCCATCCGTGATATTTATCACATCCGGATTCGATAAGTAGCAGAACACTGTACCTACAAGCAGAGAAAGATTTGCTCCGTATAAAACAAAGTTACATCCTTGAAACTCCATTAAAGTCAGCAATATGAATACAAAAATGTTATTCTTATCAGAATTCAGCAGCTTATAAATGCTTATTGGAAATGTTTCAGCTACAATCCGACATTTCTCTTCAGAAATCACGAAATTCCTTAAAAAAAAGGCCTACTTCAAAATTCAGTCCGTACCGCGAAGAAAACACCACACTTCACCATTACAAGGATCAAATAGTTAACGCTGTTTAAGGAAATAATCGCTGTTTATTCTGAGGATCGTACGAAACCCATAATGAGAGTCTATTAACCCGTCTAAATAATATTTAAGAATTCAGACCGTACCGCGAAGGTACTTTGGTAGGGGTTAACCGACGTTTTAGGGATCTGATAGTGGAGGCAGCAGGTAGCTCTGAAACGTCGGTAAGCCTACATCAGGTTATAGGGCTCTACATTTTCGGACTCACCCCCGTGAGGATCGGTCCCTGGTGAAGCCCAGGGAGAGGTTTTGACACGTACTGTACGGTACTGTTGTTCGACCCTCGTCCCTGACGAAATTTGTAAGCGCATCACGTGCGGACGGAGCGAGACGGCGAGCCTTGGGGGTAAGATGGGATGGAAAAGCTAGTCTGTGCTCCAACGTCACTGCCCCTGATCCAATGTGGAAACTGAGTGTCTACTGATCTCACCACGACGCAGATGAAAGGAAAGTCAGATATAACTGAGATGTTGATTCTCGTATCATCACGAATACGTCTAAATTCTTACAGCAATTGAGCGAATATTGATTCAGCATTGCGGTAATGGTTGTACTCCGTACTAAATTTTATAAATAAAAATTTTAACATAAATCTGCATTACGAAATTGACTATAGATTTATACACGTTTTGTTACTGTTTTAGCAAGACGTAGTTACTGTGCGCGTTTGTGAGGGAAACAGGGAGTCTGTACACACAGATGACTAAATATAGAAGACATAGTTTAAAACTATAATCGAGAAATGACCATCAGACCTCCGCTCACTGCACAGACAGGGATTAGAAATAATCTTAGCGCAGAACGTGAACAATTACACAGAAGGTAGTATGTCCACACCACTAGAAATAATCTTACACAGAAGGTAGTATGTCCACACCACGCCAAAAACCCTCCGATGGATGTATGAAGGTTCTTTAAATTCAATCAAATATATTAATAAATGAAATTTGAGGTTCTCTTTTATGGTGTACGTAAATGTAAAATGCAGGCCATCACCGCTCAGTCCTGGGGTGGAATTCTCTGCTGAAACGTTTGCAGCTAGTGGACCGACTACCGCTGACGTAGCCCGCCACCGTATCGACGCTCTGTGCCCCCTCCGACACGGAAATCTGGCGTCGCTTCGGATGTAGAGAACGGAATGAATATCGTCACTTAGCACTCCGTCGACAAATGACGGTCATGCAGCCAGAACGTGGCGACAATTGTGATGGTGATAATGGTGAGTTCGCGTCACCTGTTTTCCGTTTACGAGGATCACGGAATTTCCTACGTGCGAGTCCACGTGTCCGAGAAAACTAAAATTGTACACTTTCGTCCTGTCCTATGGAAAGACGAAATTGTGTCGGCGTATATTTGGATTTTATTAATTTATTTAATGACGCTGAAAGTAACTCAGCCAAAATATTAATATTAATGAATAATGAACTGCACTGGGTATGTTGGTAACCCCATTTTAAGGCAGTGTCTCAGCAGTTGTCCGGATACACTGAGGAAATCCACAAAACGAGGGTCAGGGCAGTGGGTCTGCAGGCCCAGATACGAACCCAAGATCCTCCGAAAACGAAGCAGGAGTGAGTGAACGAGGAGAGGCATATCTTCACAAGGAACACAAGAAATGCCATCAGACGAAATCGTAAGGGATCTGGGGGAGGAGGCTTTATCCCGACAAGGAATAAATACTTGAGGAGATCTCTGCGATGCCATCAGCTGGGTCCTCCATAAAGTATTTCTTCTTTTTCTCTCTTTTTCTTATAACTTCTTCTTTTCTACGTGGTTAATCCTCAACGGGGTGGGATCCATGAACGGTAGAGAAGGCATCAACAATCACAGTCCACGTGATCTCTTCAGAGAAGACGAAAAACCAAACACTACAGAGGGACAGCTGTCAAGACACCGGCCTGCCCTTCTGGCGTACAGCTCCTCGCACGAAATGTGCCACAAAGATTCGACGTTACGTAATAAAGGAACGATTTAACATTGACACTTTATAACACGTGTAGATTTCAATATATTATCTGCCCTTCTCTGACTGCTTTCGACCTTAAATTGTATTAGTTGTTCGCTTACTTATGTCGCTGTATCAACTACCGACTACGATCTCACTACAATTAAAGCTCCACATGTTGTTAAACAAATGCGGATCGTTATAACAAATGGAAGTCAATTGATCACAGCATGGAACAAGTTGTTGGAAAAAACAGTCTTGGATGGTAAACGTGGTTTGGGTTGTCGATTCGTATTGTAGAGGCGTACAAGACCCGCGGGAACAGTCATGAAGAAAGATACACTTAAAAACAAACGAGAAGGATCATATGCAAGTGAGGGGGGGGGAGGGGAGGGGACAGAAGTTTCGGAGGGGAACGGAGCGTAAAATTAATCATGAAAGGAACCTATTTTTGTTCTCCCACTGCAATGATTTCAAAGCACTTTCAGGTAAAGATACACTTCTTCAACTCAAAATGTTCATACGTCTTGTATCATATGTGGACGAATTTGGAATATTAACTAACTAACTAACGAGGAGCTTCGTGTTTGATACAGACCACACGGCGCTGTTGACAAAGTGAAATATAAATTGGCTAGGCATGTAGCGAGGACGAAACTTACACAGTGAATAGATGATTTTAGTGGCATCAGCAGTGTTTGTTAGACAGTCAGTTAGTTACCCCTGTTCTCTGTAAAGAACCGAATCTTACGAAAATAGTGAGGAATAGTGTGGATTGGATTCATCTGGCTCAGGAAGGGTTCAGTGTCAGACTTTTGTGAACACGGTAATTAAAAATATGCAGAGAAGAACAGTGAATGTTAAATGGTTTTATACAGAAGGAATTTTTTAAAAAAACCAACTAAAATCTGAAGTTTAATCTTCATAACCTAATTTGGACCATGGACACGTTGAATATCGCAGAATAATTGTATCACCACCTGCAAAATCTTAAAAATGAATAAATAACGAAAAATAAAAACTCGCTTTTTCTGAGTAAAGAGAATTTTCTCCTTAATGACGACACCTGGTGGCTAAAGGCGAACGAAACTCAGCTGTCATTCGGGAGGCGGTGGAGTCTGGCCGCCAGCAACGCAGCCACAAAGCACAGCGGCGCAGGGAAATTGTCTCGGAAAGGGATAAAGTTTGAGGCGGGGGAAGGGGGGGAGGAAAGTTTCGTAACCCCTGAAGTGGGGTTTTCAAATGGGTTTATTGTAGGTGAGACGCTAGAGTATCCATCATCACACGTACAGTCGTTCCCTTATAACATTTGTTCGGATCACATTTATTGAACCAAACGCCGA